CCCTGTCCTTCACCACCCCATGGCCGGCAGGAAACACTGCCCTGTCCTTCACCACCCCATGGCCGGCAGGAAACACTGCCCTGTCCTTCACCAGCTTCACAGCTGTTGCTGTTTCAGTCTTTGCCTTGAAGGTCTTCATCCAGCTTTCTCTGCTGGAGAAATGAACTTTGAGTACAGAGAAGATTAGCATCACATGGCATTTGAAGGAGATGCTTGCAACATTTAAGCTCACCAGTATCAACAGGAAAAAAATCTACTTGCAAGGGGGCCCACACAGTTTAGCCCAGCACTGTTCAGAGTCATCTGTGGTGTCTCACACCTATGAACAGGCACTGGGCTCTTGAGCATGTGTTAGTGTCGGAATGCGGCGGGCTCAGAAGAGATTTGTCTGTGACCTTGTGGTTTGGTCTAAACTTTGTCCTTTACTTCCTAGATCAACTGGAGCCAGGAAGAAGGAGAAGATGAGTTGCAGATACCTGGACAAACGGGGCGCTCTGATCAGCGGGGAAGTGACTCGAGCTCCAGTGTGAAGGACGCACGTCACAAAGGAAGACGTGGGAAGCAGGCACGTACAGGAGCGGCCAGGTGTACTCTGCCCTGATGGCAGTCATAGCAGGAGTGTCCCAGATCACAGGAGTCACTGTAAAAAAGAGGGAGAATCTACTTTGCATTTCCAGAGCAAGTCTGCATTTCCCCAAGTATTTGACAAGTCTTTATAGTCATTATCAGTTCTGACTTGGACGTGATGGATGTGAGTGTTCTATTTACATTCGTGAAATACATACACACACATGCACACAAACACGCTTTGGCCTTTCTGTTTCATTTTGGTTTCACCTCTTTATATGACATCAGGAGTGGAACGAAGTATGATCTCATATCTCATAGCCACCACCGATGTGCTTTAGTTTCTTGTTTTTATAGACAAGCAGCAGGACAGAGGGTCTTTTTTTTTTTGTCTCTTCATGTCTTAGGTTCTGAATGTGTACAGAAGGATTTACATCTCTCTTTTCAAGAAATGTGGGCTGTGGTGGGGAGCATGGATTAGTAAAGAGGTCGGGAGAGGTGCCAAGCACGTGCACGGGTCTGAGGGCAGGGAGGTGGAGATAGAAAGCAGTAGAGATGCCCAGAGCTCATTAGGGCTGAGAAAGAACAGTGAACGGAGTGGTCCCAGGAAGAGGCAGTGATGAAACGAGCCTGTGAGAGAAAGAGGTGACATTCCTTTGTCTACAGTGATTCTCATTGGTTGACTGAGGTCAAAGCTGAACCAAGGCCTTTGTTGTGGGCTTCCAGAGCTGAAGATTTGTAAGTCAGGAGACTGACTGTCTCCTTTGGCATGGCTGATGGGTTTGGACTCCAGGCCTTAAGTGAGCAGCCCCACATATAACGTCCACACCACCTCTCTCCTATGGGAAGGACATTGCTCATGGACATACTCCATCTGCCCAGCTGTGTGTGGTCGCTGAGCAGTGGGGGCACCTGAGAGCTGAGCAGGTGGGCACAGGCACCTGAGAGCTGAGCAGTGGGGCAGGTTCCTCTCTCCCAGTACTGCCCCTGTGTGCTGTGCTAGGACATCAGTAGTGCCTTCGCTGCCAAAGCTCTTCTGCACCTAGTATTTGTTCCTTTACTGTTTTATTTTGCTGCTTATACGTAATCTGTTTCACATTTTTAACATGTTTTGTTTTAGGTGAAAGATGCTTCACGTGAAGAAATTAATCTGAGCCACATTGTGCCCTATGAGCCCGTTTCCGAAGAAAAACCAAAGGAGCTACCTGAGTGGAGCGAGAAAGTGGCCCAGAACATCCTGTCAGGTATGGCAGCGCCCTTAGCTCTCCCGCGCATGGGACACCTTGATGTACTTCACCACCGAGATGTACAGGAACACCCAGAGGAGCTGACATCTGCCGGGGAGGCTGTTTGCTGCAGCTCGTGCTCCACCACCTGATAGACGGTGTGCTTAGGAAACTCACTTGAGGAGTATTTGCTCAGTGGGTTCGTCTGTGTAAAAACACCTTTGGATCATATTTTGTATTTTGGTTTTGGATCCCACACCTGCTGCCACCACATGGGGTTCTGGCTCTGGACCAGGCAGGATGGGGCAGCTTTGCTCACAGGGTCTCCAGGGCTCTGATCTCCAGACAGGAGAATGCCTCATCTCTCCCTAAGAGCAGCTGGCGGACTTGCTGACCTTGTATTTAACAGTGTAATTCTTTATTCTAAACAATAAGTTAATAGACAATTTCAGTGGAAAGAGAAGTCACAGTTCTCTCAGAATGCTGCGTGCTGTCAGGCTGGTGGGACCTCTGGTCAAAAGGACCCTCAGACTGAGAATGCTGAGCATAAAAGCACTTCCATCCACCTTCCCTTCAACCTCCCACCACCACCACCACCACCTGGAAGGGAAACTTGGCCATCCACCTTCCCCTCTGCCTCCCTCCGTCACCACCATCATCCCCTGAAAGGGAAGCTTGGCCACATGTCTTTAGAAGCAGAAGTGCTCTTGAGCACACACAGGAGAGGCAGTCATAAGAAGAGATGAGCATTTTCCCCAGGCCTTTTGGAAAGCTGGTCCCATTCTCAGCTGTGGACAGAAAGGATGTCAGCCCAGTTACTCTGAAGCCACATGCTCATTCTCACCTGTGTCTATCTTCAGCTTGGTTGCTCTGAAGCCACGTGCTCATCCTGACCTGTGTCTTTCTCTGTTGTTGGTTATCATTTCACTTTGGTTTTCAGGTGAAAATCCGCTCAGATGTAGACCTTCTAGTTTGTGTGAAGAATAAATAACCAGTCAGAATACTCCTTAGAAGCGAGGATGGTGCAGCTTCACCTCTCCTACTTCGGGCATGTTGCCAGCAGGAGCTGTTCCTTGGAGAAGGACATGCTTGGAAAGGTGGAGAGTCAGCAGAAGAGAAGAACACCCCCAGCAAGATGGATCGACACAGTGACTGCAGCGGTGGGCTCAAGTTGTGTCAGAGCTTGTTGGCACAGGAGAGTCAGGGTTCAGTTCTATTGTTCACAGGGTCACTGTGAGTCGTACTCGAAGGCACCTAACAGTGCAACACTCAATATGTCAGATTCTTGACTTAGTGTATGCAGCCCCCTCTGTCCTAGACCCCTTCTACCGTGCCAGGTTCTCTGTGGATGATACAGCTGTCCAACAGCGTGTATATGACTCTGATGTCTACAGAAACAGACTGTCCACTGCCAGGTCTGCCTCCCAAGGAGAGGTTAGTGGATTTGAACCTCTCCCCTGTGGTTGGCAGTCACTGGCAGGTCCATGCTAGAGAGCCACTGAAACAGTGAATCATTTCATGCAGAGGAATGCTTCCATGTAGAGAACCGCAAACTAAAGAATGTGAAACCGATTGGAGCCGGTGTAATATCTTTTCCCCAGGACCAACAAGCTGTACTGAAAGGAGCAAGGAACTGCAAGTCCATCCTGTTAAGCATCTGATAAGTGTGGCCCTTGAGGGAGATTTGCAAAGAAACATCTCTGCTCTTAACACCCCTGCTCCCTATCAGGGTGAGGCTGGGGAGGACAGTAGCAAAGCCCTGTTCCCTCAAGTGGCCCTCTCTGTGTCACCTGTGTCCACCTCAGGATCTCTAGAACAAAGTGCCAAGAATGAGGCAGAACCGTAAAGAGGAGCTCAGGTCCTTGGCCAACCACCATCTAAGTCGCACCAAAACCAAATCTAGTCCCTTGCAGCAGTGCCTGGCATGCAAGGAGGATGCCGCAGGTTCAGCTCCACCCCAGCCACGGAGCCGCTGTCTCTAACCAAGTCTGTGGTCAGACCTGGGATGCCAGGCCAGCAGAAAATGTTAGTCTCCATGCCTGAGCAATGTGTGACCAGGACACCAGAACAGGAGAGCTGAATGGGCTGGGTCCATGGTGGCAAGGACAGAGCTCCCTGAGAGCAGCACATGCGGTATCTGAGTGTTTCCCCTCTGAGGCGATCTGAATAGTTAGTTAAAGGCTGCAATCAGCCCTAATCTTAAGTGACTCCTTGTTTTCTTTACAAGGTGCTTCCTGGGTGAGCTGGGGCTTGGTCAAAGGTGCTGAGTTCACTGGCAAAGCGATCCAGAAGGGTGCGTCCAAGCTCCGTGAGCGCATTCAGCCAGAAGAGAAGCCAGTAGAGGTGAGCCCTGCCGTGTCCAAGGGCCTTCACATCGCAAAGCAGGCCACCGGCGGAGCCGCCCGTGTCAGCCAGTTCCTGGGTAACGCCACACCTTCAGCTGATTTCAATGCCCACGTGGGTGGAGGGGCCACGTGGAGTTGTGTTGCCTTGTTTGCACAAGAAGACCTGCAGACCAGGGCCACCATCCGCCAGTGCCTCAGGCCACTTTGTATAGTGGATAGTGTGTACTGAGAGCCCTGTCCCTGAGTGGTGGTGGTATGTAGTGGACAGTGTGTGCCTCTAGAGCCCTGTCCCTGAGTGGTGGGGATGGTGTGTAGTGGACAGTGTGTGCCTCTAGAGCCCTGTCCCTGAGTGGGGATGGTGTGTAGTGGACACTGTGCATCTGGAGCCCTGTCCCTGAGTGGTGGGGATGGTGTGTAGTGGACACTGTGCTTCTAGCGTGCTGTCCCTGAGTGATCTCTGTTGTTTTTGTTGTGGAGTGGATGGTGTGTGCACAGTAGCGAACTGTGTTGGGAAGGAACTGGCCCCTCATGTCCGGAAGCATGGGAGCAAACTGGTGCCCGAGTCTCTAAAGAAGGACAAAGACGGCAAGTCCCCGCTGGACGGCGCTCTGGTCGTGGCTGCGAGCAGCGTTCAAGGTGACTGTGGCATGGCTGGACGGGGCTGTGTGTGCAAGCCTGCAGGGCTGACTTGCCTTCTCTTTGCAGGCTTCTCCACAGTTTGGCAGGGCCTGGAGTGTGCCGCCAAGTGCATCGTCAGTAACGTGTCGGCAGAGACCGTGCACACAGTCAGACACAAGTGAGTGGATGGCCCCTCGTGACCATGACTGCATCCTCAGCTTGCGTGGGAATCCACGGCACCCACGCAGCCTTTCTTACCCTGTGATTCGAGTGTTTACAGAGCAGACAGTGTGTTCCATTGCACAGCTCACATATGGTATGTTTGACATGGACCACAATTACCTTTCAGATAGCACTCTCCCCACTTCCTCCTGGAGCCTCGTTTCCATTCGTCCTTTGTCCTTTCCTGTCTCTTCCTGCTGCCTGAGCCCTGTCCTTGGGCGGTTGCTGCCTTCTGATCTGGGTTTTTGCTCTATAGCACCTACGTTCCTGCCCAAGATCTGGTCACCTGACAGACCCGTCTGTTGTCTGGCAGAAGGTTGAGTTGTTCAGATGGTTTCAGTTCTGGGCTTGACAGGTGCCTCAGTGCTGGAGTGGTGTGCATTCCAGCTGTGCCTTATTACTCTAGGAAGCTGTTTTCATGATTTTAATGTTTGTTAAACATCTGAGAAAGCAGAGTTTCTTTCCCTGTTAAAGTAGAAGGACAATGGCTTATTACTGAAATAATAGAATGCCTCTGGTTTTGTTTTCAATAATTAGCTGGTGTTAAGTGGTGGTCATCAGGATTATAGAGATTGGGTTTAATCAAGAAAATGTCTGGTGCTTCTGTTGTTTAGTGCTGTGAATCAGTCTTGACTCCTAGGACCCCATGTGACACAATAATGTGCCCTTAGGGCTTCTTGGGGCCAAGTGGAGAATGGTGCAGACTCTTCCCCTTAAGATTTACAGCCTCTGACATGACACGTGATGGTACAGACAAAATCATTTTGCTACATTGAATTTCTAGAGTTCGATCTATGTTTTTATTTTTAACTCTTAAAAATGTTTTTAAGATATTGTTGTTATTGGAAATAAAGTACATTACTGAAAATGTCCTCCCCTTAAAAAAAATTTTTACAGCCTCTGAAACCAAGAAGGGTGAGCACCAGTGCACATGAACATGACTGACAGTAAGCTCATCTCTACTGAAGACACCTGCACGTACTTCCACAGAGCGGCAGGACCCAGACCACCTCGCTGCAGTTAGCAACCCAAAGCTGGTCTGTGGTGCTCCTCACTCTTGCTCCCTAGGAGAAAAATAAATGTATTGTGTAAACATCCTCATGTGATTTTTGCAAGTATATAAACCATCACAGAGAACTACTTGTACATTTAGAGACAACCACAGTTATGTTATTAAAGACACCTCTTGTGAGTGGAGCTGCGAAGTATAGACAGAGCTAAACCCAGGCAACTAGGGGAGAAGAACCTAGTTTATTATTTTTGACACACTCTCATAGTCCCTCTCAGTCTCAAAAACACCCGCAGTGTTAAGCAGAGCACCAAGGCCATGCCAGACAGTTGTTGATACAGTTCTCACAACATGCTCAAGCATTTTGTGTCATTATTCAAGCTTCTTTAAGAGGCAAACGATGTACATTCATGGGAAGGGCAGCCACCTGTTCTAACAAGACATTCCTGTGTTTCTCGTGTATTACATGAGGTGTTCCTCAGTACCCCACGGAATGACGTCTAGCTTTGTCCCCCATGACCTCACAACCTGTGCTTTATAATTCTGTGGGTTTAGGACTCAGAACTACCTTAACACTTAACAAACGATTTATGAAGTATCTACTTAATTGAAAGAATGTGTACATAAGTAAATAAAGGGGGGGAAGTGGATGACTGTTGCAATCCGCAACCCTTTTTCCTGGAAGAAATGAACATAGAGAGAGACAGACACAGAAGACAAGACAGGACTGCAGCAAAGAAACACACACTCACACAGACAGGACAAGAACTGCAGACCCCCAGGCTGCCTCGTTTATTATTTTATAATCATCCAAAAACAGTCTACGTGCAGATACTCATGATTTGGGAAAAACTTATTTACCGGAAACTAGACCTGCTTAGCACAGAATATTCTCACGGAATCTTTCTTGCTTGCATCTCTGTTTATCAGAAGGAATAAGACTATGCCTTGGGAAGCAGAGTATTCTTGGACCTCATGTGCAAGCGACCAAGGTCGCCATCTGCAGACGCAAGGACACATTCTTGTCCCACTCCCCATCCGGATTGAGGAAGGCCAAAGAGACATATCTGTGTGCAGCCTGTTTCTTTATTAACCCTTCTGGCTCCTTCAGATGACCAAGTGCGTCCTGAAGGAGTCATATGTAAACTAGACCCATTCCAGCTGAGAAAGAGGAGTCTGGCTGCTTGTGTAAAGATTACAGTCTCTGAAACCTGATAGCAGTGGGATGTGACATTTACGTTAATGTGCAGGAGCTTTTGATTATAGCTTGAGCACTGGGGTTGATTAGGTCCCATTTAGGGATGTAAAGATGTGCAGAAGCAATGACCAGCACTCAGTAACTTAAGACCTAGTAGATCTGATTACACCATCTAGTAAATGACTGACCACTCTTCTCCATAGTGTCTTCATTTACCCCGGGTTAGGCGCCATTAAGAGTCAAGTATGACTTATAGCAACCCTAAGAACAATGGCTGTGAACCTGTACTGAGAGCCATCCTTCCAGTCTCTGACACACTTGCCCATTGCTGCAGTCACTGTATCAGTCTGTCTCATTGAGGGTCTTCCTCCCCTTTGCTCACCCTTCTCCAAGGGATGGCCTTTCCTAACTCTGGATGCCCAGAGTGTGTAAGACAGAGCTTCCCCCTCCTCACCTCTAAGGAGCTTCCTGGTGGCACTTCCTCCAAGACACATCTTCCTGTTCTTC